CCTGCTGCTTCTGTCAGTCTAAGTAACAGAGTGACAGGGAGTGACACTGACTGGATTTCTGTCATCTTACTGTGGGTCTTTGTAAACATGTAGTTTCGGGCCTCCGCAGTTTGGGGATGGCCCTCATCAGTGCGCAGTTGGTTCTTACACCTAGATCCTTCAACACCACCACATTTCATACTGGTTCCCTCTCACCGAATGAAGTTCTGGCAGCCCTGAGTCTGTGGTTTCATTATGGTACATGGAAATTGTAATTCACCAATTTTAAGTTGAGCCCCTGTTTTCCATAGGTGCAGTATTACAATATGAAAAATCATCACAAAAATAAATAAAACATATGCACTTAAAATATTTGTTATAGGTATAACACCAAATGCTGAATGTAAAAGTTATTACATAAATGTTTTGTTTGGGGAATTTTTTTAATGTTGTCCATTTTAGCTTGTTATTGTTAACCTATAGGCTATTGAAATTGGGTTTGAGGCTGCCGTTTTTTCCTAGTAACTTATCTTGTAGCAAGCATAGATATTCCTCATTGTTCTTCAATGTCTCTTCTTCAGAATTTAGGATCATCTGTCCAAGTGACAGGTGATAGCGGTGGTGACGTGTATATTCATCTGTTGTCTCTTGTTTTTTGACATTAAACACCTTTGTGAAGAGCAGCCTTTCTCAGTTATTTAAGTAACTCTTCTGAAAAATTCTATGGGTCTCCACAGGAGTTTGTGGCTGTCTCGTAAACTTTAACGATTTTACAGACTAGTTCTCCTTAGAAATAATCAAATCATCCCTTGTGCGTGATTAAAAATTCATTTTCAAACTTGGTTTTAAGCATTTGGGAGAGAGATTATGCCTCGTGGAAATTGTTACTTATTTCAACTCCATAAATCAGCTCATCACATTTTCTTATTACTATTTATTGCCTTGGCCAGGTGCCATATACTTAGGGTGGTGTCGGTGGAGTTTATTGCAGTTGTTAGGTATTTGTAAATATAATCGTTGATATGATTGTTAATATGGTACTGCTATTTACCATAGAGTAGATTTGGAAATGTCAGCCAGTCACATGGGTATTTCACACCCCACGAAAACCCTTGCTGGTGTTAATAATAATTGATGCTTCTTTTGATGGTTTAACACTTAACTATGTTCCAGGTACTGCTCTAGGGGCTTTGTATAAACATACTATTTTGATCCTGTCCAAATCCAGATGAGGTTGGAATGATTATTATTCTTTTTCACTAATGAGGAAATCGAGGCACAGGCAGATTGAATCCCTTGATAAGGTTATTCAGCTCTGTGGGGTGGAGTCACATTCTAACAGAGGTTAGACTTCTGAGAGCATACTCTTAATTATGATGGATTAGAATTCAAGAAAATATTGGCTCATCTCTTCATTTCGGGCAGGTACTATTACGGCATGTACTAAGTAGATGGAGCCGGGGAGCAGCTGGGTCCCAGAGATTAAGCCAGTGGTGGGGGGAGGAGGATCTGAGTCCCAGAGGCTGGCGTTTGTAGTCTCATTTCTTTTGTACACATTGCTAACATCGAGGATGCCGGTAAGTTTGAGGATGCGTAATTATTCTCTGCTCTATTTTATAAGGAATTCTTTAATTAAATTGAACCCCATTGGTGCAGCAGAGAACTCCAAATGATGCCTTTAGCTATTTTTCTTTCCAATTTGGCATCTGAGCGATAACTAGCTTTTTGATTGGTTTCCCTTCGCGATTCAGATCAGTGTGACTTGTTCAGTGATGTTGACCATAGGGTAGTTATACATGTAGGCCCAAGTCATTAGTTTTTGTCTTTTATTTACCAGAACATTTTCTTCTGTGCGAAATAATAGAAATAAATATAACTCCACATCTTAAAACCAGTGCCTAAAAGGCGGCAATTAGTAGTAATTCACTGTCTGTTTAGCTTTTGTTTCCAGGGTATAAGACATGAATAAAAGAACTTTTTGTAAGTTTTTTCTTGATAAAATTTCTTTGAAATAGAACATTTCTATTTAGTGTGAGAAATAATTGGTGGGAGAAAAGTTGAACATAATAGAACTTGTTATATGCATTCCTTCCCTGCTGACATAAATGTTCTCTTTAAATGAAACCAGCAAAGTTTATTTTTTGGAAAAAAACAATGGAACAGAGTTCTAATATAAAGAATCCTAAAATTAAACAAAAACAGTTATTATTTTGTAAAGAGATAATTTTAAGTTTACTGTGCACTTTTTTTGTGTGTGTGGGGATGATGCATTTACATTTTAAGACTTCCAAACCAAGTGGAAACAATAGAAGAAAAAGATGAAATAAAGTATGTAAATGTTGTTTTGTGTTTATAGAACTTTAGATTCAAAGTGTAAGTTTTATAACTAACCAAACTTTCTATAGTTTTTTTTTTTTATAAGGAACCATTATGTTTTCTAGGCTTCTTTCTTTTTTTTGAACCATAATTTTACCTTATTTAGTTATTAATTTACATGACGTATTTTTGTTGTGAACAGAATTAATGAACAAGATTTCTCTGAATTTAAGTATTCTATCATTTTGCTTACCTTATGAAAGAATAAGTAGTTAAAATATGGGTGTTTTTTAGAAGGTAATGACAGAACAAATCAATTATTTTGAAATATAACAAATAAGATTTAGGGAAATATATGTTCTAAAATGTTTTTTCCCCCTGAAGTATAATGACATGTCCAATTATCTATATTGTAGATACATGCCATTACTAGTATGGCCTGCTCTTTCATCAGAGGTATTGCACGTTAAAGCAGTTTATTCTGTCTGGACCATAGTAAGAGATCCGTACATGTTAAAGATTATTACCATAGCTGATCATCACTGCTATATTACTAGTAGCACTGTGATTATTGCGGTTGACCCTCGAACAGTGCGGGCGTTCAAGGCACAGACAAACTACATCAAGTCCTCCGCATACGTACATTCCCAACCACAGGTCAGAAATGCTCTCTCAGCAGCGATCAGCACACGTAGAAATGCTTGGTCGTACTGGGCCTTGAGATGCAGCGAAACACTGTACTAACCTAGCGCTCTCTCAGGTCTGCTTTTTGGAGTGGGCCTCTGAGTGGAACTTGTCTTCAACGTGTATTATGATGAAAATAGGTATTTTTTCTTACCCATTTCCATTCAGTGAAGCATAACAAAGTTTCACAACTTTTTAGTTTTTTAATACCAAATAAATATCGTTTTGCTGAGAGTCCCACGGCATTGCTAATCACTTTAGTAATAAACCTTGTATTTAGTATATTCTTCGTACAGAAAATACAAATCTCAACTTATGATGCTTTTTTCTAAAATTGTTGTAGCTTATGGAACTATGTCTGCATTCATTAGAAAAGACAATAATAGTTTGTTACGTTTATTGTTTTTCCTCATTCCTCAATTCTTTGCTATAATTTATTCTTATGTTGGAAGAATGAGCATTATCATCATTGTATCCAAATGTCCTTTTTTACTTTTCAGTGGTCTCTGATGAACTATTAGTTATCGACAAGGACGAAAATAAAAATAGTTTTTCACTTGGTAACAAATGAAATAGTATGATTATGACATCCATTCTAAATAATCATCTGTATGATTCAGAAATTTAAAAATATGAACTCAAACGCCTTCAGAAATGTGTCTCTGTTACGTAGTTTGCTAGGACATTGCATTCTAGTTAAAATGTGGGTAAAATGCTGTGTTTTTAAAATGCCGTATAATAAATTTCTCATTGCATATGTCTAATGGGGAACTTTGGGTAATTCGCACCAACAATATCTGCAGGGGTGCTGGTGACCAACACTGCCCACTTCCAGGTCTTCTTAGTTCCCTTTTCTACTTAAAAACCCACCAGTGGACTCCTGTTATCTTGTACATGAGTACTAATCTCTTCATCAACATAATTTTCAAGCGTTTATGAAGTGTTTGTTGTGCAAGGCATATTTTATCACCTAGTAGGATAAGAGAGTACAAAACATAACCTGATAATATACAAGAGCATCATTCTTTCTCTGGGACTATGATACATTTTAGGGAAATGATACTATTGATACTCAGAAATATGAGAGAAAATGTTTTATTGAATTATTATATAAAAAAGGCAGTTGAAATTTGATCTTAAAATTTTTGTCTTTATTCTTAATTCAGAATTTTTCAGTTTTCATGCTTCTTGGGATGTAGAGCTAAAAGGGACATTAGAAATAATGTTCGAAGTGTTTCACTTTAGAAAGTCCCGTGCCAGACTGCATAGCTAGTTAAAAGACAGATGTGTTCTGTTTCCTTTGCCTCCTGATTTGTAGCACATGGCTCTGCTGTGTTACCATACTGTTTTTTATCTCACTTTTCTCTTTCAATTTATTCTTAATTTTCTTAATCAGGCCTTTGCCTCTTTTAGATTCTCCTGTTATGTTTTAGTGATATTTTTAACCTGCAAAATCATTTCTTCACTCTTGCTATTGCCTGTCCTCTCTGTCTGTCTGTGCCGTCCAGTATGGTAGCAATTAGTTACGTCGCTATTTACATTTTAATTAAAATTAGTTAAAATTAGAGTTCTCTCTCTTAGTATCAGTGGCCACATTTCACGTGCTTTATACTTATATGTGTAGCTAGTGGTTGCATCCTGTGATCATAGGAAGCTCGATCGTAAGCTTTTCGAAGGCAAGGGGCCATTTATGTTGGTATTGACATAAAGCATGGGGTCTTGGTAAACGTTTTGGGACGTGTGAATGGGTACGTACCCACACCATCCATTAGTTTATTGCCAAATACTTCGTTTAGAATTCTCCTTTTTGACTATTTTATGAAAGAAGAGAAATCATCAATTTGGTATTTTTAACTTACATTTGTATATGACGTGTATCATGTACCACCTTATGTACCATAAACAGGAGTCTTGGAGATTTAAGGTGCTAGAGATACGTTTTGCTACGTGTCCCTTGTGTAGCCAGTCAGTGAGGTAATGTGTATTTTAAATGCTCATGTATTTTTTTCTTTTACTTGAAGTTATGACGGCGACTCGTTGATGATCATCCCTTGGCACGAACGTAAACATCGAGATAAAGATTGGTGTGAGGAGTCCGAGTGCAGGTGAGAAGTGCCCGCAGCAGGGGGCTTCATTCCTCTGTGGCACAGATGGACGGAAGGCCCCGTAGGTGCTGTGTGGTGTGCGAAGTTGGTCCTTGACTTAGAGAGTTTGAGTGAGGCTTAAAAAAAAAACTTACTCTAGTTAAGTAAAGAATTTTTTAATGAAAAAAAATATTAAATGCTACAGAGGAATTATTCTAAAAGTGACCCTTATTCAAACAACTCTGTTTCATTTTGAGGTATTCCTTTTCACTCTTTGACATACACAGGTAATTTTTTTTATAGTTTTTATGGTATGCATGCAATTTTGTTCTTGACTCAGTTTTAATTTTCGGTTTTATAAGATTTAACCTTGGAAGGCCTCAGAATGTGGAGGCTTCAAGTCCTGAGGAAAGGGGTGGGGATGAGGTATGGACTGAAACGTTGGATAATACTCCGTCGCCGTTT